GGTTCCCCCTCTCTGCTGTCRGGTCCCAGGGGTTCCCCTTCTGATGAGGCATAATTAACTCAATTACAATGACTGAAAGACAGCTGTCATGTCTTAATAGGCGTCATAAAAATCCTCAAAGATCCTTGAAGTGGATCCTTTCCTCCAGAGGACTGCACATGATCGACAGTGTTGCAACTAATCCACAGTGTTKTAAYAGACGGTGCAAAYGCCCCCTTGCAGGGGAAGTACATAGAGCTTCCTACATAAACCCAAGTGTATATTAACACATCGAACTTTGTGTTTCACAGGCTTTATCCACCCCCAACAAATCAAGGCAGCGACCATCACTTCAACCAACTGATATCAAAATTGCAACAATCAAGTCCCATGTCTGGATCCAGAGCAGGTTATACCTTTCTAGTCTTATCCTTTCTTTTRCCTTTTTTTCCTTATACATTTTCTTATWTGTCATTTTTATGCTTTTATATTGTTGTATTTCTCTAGATAATAATAATCAAAATGGTTGCCTACCTCCTTTCCATTGCATCCAAAAACACTTACATAAAGATAGATAGATGATAGATAGATAGATAGATAGATAGATAGATAGATAGATAGATAGATAGATAGATAGATAGATAGATAGATAGATAGATAGATAAAGAGATAGAGAGAGAGAAACACCAGTATAATCTTCAGGAGTCCCCTGTCTCCACGGTTCCCTTGTCAGCATCCGGGGGATCCAAGGGCTACCCACCTCTCCACAGTCCTTCCTTCTCCGGGCTCCCTCCTTCTCCGGGGTCCCCCTTCTCAGGGCTACAAGGTGATCCCCCTCTCCAGACTGCGGATGGTCCCCCCATCCATGCTTCCCCCTTTCAGGTTCCCCCTTTCCCTCCAGGCTTTCACGTGTTTCCCCTCTCCAGGTTCCTCATTTCAGGGTCCCAGGGGGCCGGAGACTCCCTCCAGGAGGCCACCCTCCTCTCCATTCTTTCTCTGCCTCCAGGCTGCTAGGGGTCCTCAACCATCGGTAAGGCCCCTCTCCACTGTCCCCATTCTCGGGGTCCCAGAGCTCCCACACCCCGTCCGGCTCTCCCAGAAGGGTCCCCAAAAGCAGTGTCATACTCCCCCCTCCCCCCCGCCATCAGCATCAGGCCACAACCACGCAGTTCTGGGCGAACAAAGGAGGCAGCAGTGCCTGACCCGGGAAGGCCAACCTCCACCATGCGGGGTGATACTCCGCGCTTCTCCTGGCAGGCGTCATTGGGACCATCTTCCCAAAAAAACACCTTCTGGGGACCCTGCCACATCCCTGTCTTGTTTTGAAAGACAGGTGTTTGCCGATGAAGGCAGGGACCCCCCTTGGAGTGGTGGATATGACCCCCCTTCCCTCCGAATTATTATAGCTTTGAAAATCATGGGCTTTCAGGCAAGAATAKGGGTAAAAGGGAATAACAGTTTTTACTAATATGTATAACAAGGTGAAACAAGTAACAATAACAATAGCAACAACCAGCCCAGTCCCAAACTCAGTGACAGCCTCACAGAGACACAGCCCCCCCTTTGGTGCAGTTACAGTCCCGTTGGCAGGGGTGCTGTTGGCTCCTGGCTGGGCAGGGCGGGTGCGACAATTCCCCGGCAGCTGCAGGGGACGCGGTGGCGCGGGTCCCGGCTGGCTCAGATCTCCCGCGGTGCCAATGATGGACACAAAATGGCAGAGGTGGAGGGAGAAAAGTTTCTCTGCAAAACTCACAGCGGAAACGCCGATCTCGGTGCTCCTCTGGACAGCAAGAAACCCAGGACGGCAAAGAGAYGAGCAGAAATCCCGCAGCTGTGAGTCAGGATGGAGCAGAGCTCACCCCTGAAGCTGGAATCGCAGAGGTTCCCAGCAAGGCACAGGAGAGAAAACCACCGTGCAGCAAACAGGAACCCAATGAGCAGAGGTGCTGGTCTCCGCAGAAAAAGGGCAGGCCAGCTCTTCCTGGAGCAGCCAGCGGGCAGACCCCCTTCTCTCAGTAAAGCAGCGAAGGAAGTGAAGTCACCCTCCCCACCACACAAAAACACATTCTCCCAACACTTAGCAAGACCGTTTAGGTGGGGCATAAGTATCATTGTCTTCATTAATAGCCTAGCCATCAAAAGGATGACCTGGCAATTAGTGTATCCCAGCAACAAATGGGAAAGAAAAAATTCCC